CACTCAAATACACACTCTGTATTTATGTTCGTTGTGTTTTTGTACAATTGCGTTCAGTCTCTTTAATTCTTTTTATTCTTTCTCGCGAACTCAGTTACTCAAACACCTTAGAATTACTTGGTAATAGACCTATTGATTGAATCTCCTGTTATTCTGCAGACCTATCTTGTCACACTAAGGGAAGTCAGTTCGACGTAAAAATAACACGCTCGTAATTAAACCCTTTGAAAAAAGCGTTAAACAGCAACATTTTCTCGTAGTGTATAAAAAAAATATCCTAAAGTTGTACCTGCTGGTTAAAAACGAATATTATTTTGTTTTACCTTGTGAATAAAATCAGTACTTTTGACATAAACTATTCAATGATCAGTTTAAAAACTCCTGGAAAAACATTCTGTTTTTATACTTTGTCATTACAACTAACATGTGGTGGTATTCCAACATCTACATATCCTGGAACTTAATTCCACACTTTTGTATTGCAACTTAACAGAGGGTAGTGTTCCAACACCTGCATATCCAGAGATTGGAGTTAATTCCATACTTTGTCATTCCACCTTAACAGAGGGCGGTATTCCACCACCTATATTTATCCTGAGATTGGATATATATATATATATTTATTTAATTCCATACTTTGTCATTACAACCTATCAGAGGGTGGTATTTCAACACCAACATCTCCTGGGACTTAATTCCAAGTCCATCAACCAGAAAGCGAAGAACTTTATAAATTGTAAAGCTTCCCACTTAGTAAAAAGAGTAATACAAATCTTTAATAAATACAACTTCTCAAATCCTTTAATATTAAACCGTTCCCTTAAAAGATCACTTTATGTGTTAATAATCCTTGTGGAACTCTCCACTGTACAGAATATGGGAGTAAATATTGTGCTATTCCTTGGATTTTCTTAAACTACTTGTATGAAGTTTACTTATCTCAACAACTTAAGTATTTGTCTTCCTAGGGAGAAAGTAAATTTGATTTTTCTTTCTCGTTGACATTTTATAGAAACTATCATAAAACATAAGTTTCGAAATACATGAATGTGTTTTCGTATATTATGTACATCATTCGTTTTTATTATCTCTGTGCTGCCTTCATTTCTACGTATAATGAATGATTATCGTTGGATATGTACATTTTCTTTGCTTGATCATAGGAGCTTAATTATATTCCCTGTGTTCGGTTGAAATAACTACAAATATGTGAGGGTTGTAGTAAACCTTTTCCGTTATTACTGAGTAGCAATCAATTTGCTCAGACAGAAACTTTGTGTCAAAACAACATCGCGGATAGGCACGTGAAATTGTTTCCATCAGAATACACATTTTTACACAAGATGGTTACTAGAAAAGAAAAGTATATAGAGTGAACATTAAATGAAATCAAACATACAGGGTGAATCTCATTAGATTATCCATTTTATTTTCATTCAGGTACATACAGGCTAATTTGTCTCTCCCTGTTGACTAATACACGAATAACAGTTCAGATGAGTTTCTGATTCAATACCTAGTTATGTAATGTTTTCCTAATCTTTTGGACGATTAATAAACGTGGAGTAATTAATTTTTGATTTATCTAGGTTAAAAAATACACAAACGGGTCGGTTATTAAAGTACTTATATAAAGTAAAAGTAATTTATAATACATTTCATTACATTTTATGACAATGATTTGCATATGATAATAGAGAAATGTGACGTCATAGACGCGAGATGTGACGTCACGATTGGCATGCTTATTCCCTGTGTATTTGGTTAACGGCTCATTTCGCACCATTCCAATGATGCTTATGAGTAGAGGTTTTACAAGCGGATATCCACGCTCAGTGGAGGATCTATGGAAAGTTTTTAAGATATATATGATCTAAGACTGACTTCTCATTAGCTTGTTACGATTGAAAATTGCGGTGACGGGCAAAAAATAAACGTTAATTGCAATATAGGAAAACATGACTCTCAGTAATATCGCAGCAATTACAATGAACCTAACTAACTTCTAAAACGTTATACTTTAATAAAACCTATATACGTTTTTATATTTAGATACAGAGAATGCAATTTTTGAACACTAAACCTCAATCATCTAAGAACAAAGCATACAATTTCTCTCAGCACAGAAAGAATTTTTCTAGCCCACAGAACAACATTCCTTTTTTCAAATGTAGGATTTTTTTCCTTTTTCATAGCTTTATAGGATAGGTAAAAATCAATAACTTAGTTTATAAAATAAGAAAGATAACTGTTGCACCTATGGCTTAGATCCATTCTCTTGAAAGCATAGATGATACAGCAACATTGAACTGCAGTGTTTACACTTGCACAAAAAGAGTCTTTGATTAAAATTGTCTTTGAGTCAGCGATAAGTTTACGGACTTACAACGCTAAAATCCCGGTTCTTCGTGATGGAAAGAGTGCAGATAGCTCATTGTGTAGTGTGCGTTAAGAATCAATAAAAATTAACAATCGATTGGAATTTCATTTTTATTCTTCTCCGACAACAGTCGATTAAAACTGTTTATCTCATCCACAAAAAAAAGATTTTTTTTTAAACACACACACGGGTCACTTATTAAAGTACTTATATAAAATAAAAGTAATTTATAATACAGATGGAGATAAACAGATTACCATCATAGCTATACTTTAAAAGTCATTATACTAATTCCATTCTATCAAGGCTGAGCTATTATTATTGCGGAAAAGGGTGAATAGACAGAATGAAATAAGCTTTAATTGCAGCTTTCAGAATTGCCATAGGTTTATTTGTTAATTATGAAAGTCTTTGCTTTATGTTCGGGTAAACAGTTAAGAAGTACAATTCTTTTTTTTAGAATATAACGTCGAAAATGAATGTCATAAAAAAAAACATTTATTCGTTTGTTTCTTGTTAAATACAAACCTACACAACGGGCTATCTGTGCCCATCACGGGTATTGAAACCTGTTTTTTAGAATGTTAAGTTTTCAGACTTACCGCTGAGCCACTGGGGAGCAGAAAACGCATTTATAAAAACGAATATTAGAAGTTAATTCAAAAATGAGTTTTGCAAATAATACACCCAAATCAAGGCAGGAACCACTGTTGAAATACTAGTATTCACATTTCTTAATTTATTTCTTTTATTTTACATAAGCTATTTATTATATAGTTTTAGAATTTAAATACTTGTACTAAATCTAATCCACACCACACCTAATGTGTGGAAGAACATTCTATCCAAAATCAAGGCAACTAATTTTTCTTATGAATGACAAGAACTTGTACTGTGAAGCCGGCAACTGATCATAAGGTAATTTAAAACATCTTTGTATAACACGCGTATTAACAGGTATTAGAGACGACAAGATCTTGCACTTTGAGGTCTGCAACCGATCATAAGGCTAATTTTGAGTGTTGGAAAAGATGGCAGGAGCTGCTAATTTAAAACATCTGGTACCAGAAAATGTTTACCCAGTTAGTATCACGAGAGACGTCAAAAGTAGTGACAACCACGTTAGGCTCTTTAAAAAACAATACAAGAAGACACTATGTAGTAATATAACAGTTTTTACACACACACCTTGGCTTTCCAGAGACTTCTTTGTGCTATCCAAACCACGTGCTTTTTTCAAATAAAATAATTAGCTTTTGGTAATTGTAGTAAGTGCTGTTTTCTTCAATTTATAAAACCATTATTTTTCTTCTACTTATTAGAGTACTTTCTCTGACAGTTAATGCTTATTGTCATACAAAAGACAGAATAATTAAATTATTTTACCCGCTACAAGAATAAAAAACCTCATGGGCAAGTTTGTTTGAAGTTAATCACAAAGGTACACAATGGGCTATCTGTGCTCTGCCCACCACGGGTATCGAAACCCGGTTTCTAACGTTGTAAGTCCGCAGACAAATCACCGTGCTACTGGGGGGACCTTATAAACAAGAATTAGAATTACAGAAATTATACAGATGTATTTTGAAATACAATTTTTTCTTTAAGTTATTTTCTCATTAATATATGAGATTGTTATTTTTTTAACCATTACATCATTTATACATAGGTACGTTTCTTTTATTCATTTAACAAATCTTTTTTTTCCTTCTATCTATTTTTAAACTATTGTTAACTGATGAGGTTCGGTATTTCGTATGCAGTTTATAAAAAAACAAACAAAATGTTATCGTTTCAAGCAAAGAAAAAAACAGAAAACGAACAAGAGAAGCAAACACTTCATTGTGTTTGTTTTACGTGACGTTTGCCTGTTTTAAAACGCATCTATTACGCTGCCATCTTGAAAACAAGTATAAAACCGATTAATCTAGAACAGTTTGAAGTAGCTGACTGTACAAGCTAATTATTCAAAAAAGAAAAGGAAGGGACTCTCGCTGATGGTGTAAGCTAATAAGTACATCTACTGTGAATCGCTCGTTTCCTATATCATGGTTCAGAGAGTTACATAAAAATACCAAATAGAGACTCTTGTTCAGTTCCAAAGCGACAAGGTCTTTTCTAATCAATAAAAAGACTGTGCTCTGTGATTGTTTCATCGTTAGAACAAAGCATTATCATATTCTCGAAAAAAAGTTGAATAAATTTTAATCAGGAAATAGTTGTTTCTGAGTTACTTGAAATTAATGTCACACCACATAAAGAGCAACACGCGTTTTCTTTTTGATCAGAAATTTTACCTTACATTAATTTTTTTTTTATTTAACTTTGTATTTGATCTAAAATGTGATAAGGATCGTAATTTTCGCCATGATTACGCTTTATTTGTCGAATTTTTAATAATATTAAATTCCATAAAATACATGATAGTATAAAAGTTTACGCGGCAATAAATGAATCCATTATCAAGACACTTATTGAGTTATCGTAGCTTAAAAGAAACATATGAATTATTCATAGATGTCACTTTTCTCAGACATCCATCCAAGTCGAAAGAATTTGCAAAACAGAGCTGTCATTCTCCCGTTAGAGGGCGTATTAGCCGGCCGCCGCAGCTATTTCTCCTATCGATCAAGCGCACGAAACGGAGATTCCAGAACTGTGGTGATTTTGTGCAAATATAAAGGGGTACAATTTTTGGTGTTTTAGCGTCTCTATCCAAGAGCCTATTATTCTAGCCATACTTGCATGCAATTGCGCATAAAATCCGGATAACAATACATTATTATAGCATCATGCCAATCCAACTCAAAATTTTCGTGGTCGTCTTCCTTACATTATGGCTGCTGATAACAGCATCAACTCCTGCTACAGGAAACCCTGATGCTAAGAGATTGTACGACGACTTAATGAGCGGCTACAACCGTCTTGTTCGGCCCGTCAGTAACAATTCAGATACCCTTACAGTGAGAATGGACCTCAAGTTATCTCAACTCATTGACGTTGTAAGTGTTTCTATCAGTGTTGCGTAACCATACACTTGTTTTAACAAACTAATTTTTTGAAAAGGATTTTTTTTCTTACTGTAGGTCATTTTCAAAGATTGCATGAAACAAAAAAAATCGTAACGATAGATTTATTTGAATAAATGATTTGTTGTGAATATTGAAGATTATTTTCCTATTTTATACAATTTTAACCTCTGTGTTCCTTTTTTTGGTATGTTTCTTTTTATGTTGAACTTAAGATTGGGTAGACTTACTATAAAATGTTTGATTGAAGAGTAAAACAAACTTCAATGAACGAAATTCATTGTCTATGTTTTTGACTATCAATTGCTAATTAGTTTTGGCTCTATATGTAATGGACAGATTAATTAGTCAATTAAATAAGCAAACAAAAATGGATTATCAAATACATTTTTAATCTTATGAGATGATATTCCTTCATCTTTTGTTTATATTTTACGTACCCTTTTATCTGTCATTTAGTGGAATTGTCTTTTGAGCTTGTTTGTGCATGATGCCAGCTCCTTCACCGTCAGAGTTAATTGTAACGTTATTGTCATAGTGACAGAAAATGACTGATGCTGAGTTGCGTTGAGGTATTTTTCTCGGTAACTATGGCCATATATAAATTGCCTCTTTCACTATGTCAACTGATCTGATGTTCTATCTACAGCCAACAACTGCTCCGTCTTGAATTATAATCTTCTCTTCTGGTAGCAATTAAAAATAAACCGAGGGATAAACAGAAACTCGAGAACGTAGAGCTTTAGCTTGCATATTTCTTGAAACTTTGTTAGAGTTCATAAGTGTTGTAGATTAATATGACAAACCAAACAGCGTCTAGTGACAAAACCTACGCCTATTTGTTTTGATATTTGAGTTATCCATACGAAGAACTCAGAATGAAGGCGTAGGCCTCTTCGAGTTGTTTAACTGATGCCACCTTTCGTTGCTATGGCGATATTGCGGAAATATTTCATGATTTTGTATATTTTAAAATGTGACAGATAATGTTACTTGGGTTGGTAAATATATTCTGTAATCTATTTTTTTTTCACCTAAATCGCATGAAATAATGACATTAAATGAACCGAATAATTCCTAAATTATCCGCGGAACCGTTCGGTATTACTGAAGTTATACCAAAATGAAATCATAGATGGCGCACACCACATGTACACAAAAATCACGGTTCATTTGATAATTAATCAGAGATTTTGAACTTAAACTATTATTAAATAGATTTTGTGACAATGTACGAAGTTTTTCCTTACTTCTTGCCTCAGAATTATATTGTTGACTTAGAAGTTACAAGTTCAGTCGTGTTGTTTGTAAAATGTTTTGCAAGTTCAACTAAATACTCTGTTCTTTTTTTCTTTCGAATATTAGTATTAACGTTTAGATTAAAACGTACTACTTTATTTAAACTGTTAACTATTATAAAAAATATATTTATGTATGCTGGATAAAAAAGTACACAACATTTGAAGCATCATCTCGGGGATCTTTTGTCGTATAATAAAAATTTGCCTTATAACGTGAAATTCACCTTGCAACTGACGAAAACTAAATTAAAAGCGGTAACTTGTAATTCTACAGTATATCAACAAACTAATAGTTGTCCTTTTTTTGTTATCAATATAGCATTGCAATACGTGTTTATCGCAACTGCCTGTAGTAATAAAAATTTGCTTGAAGATTTACATTAAGTAAACAAGCTTTCAGACTTCCCCTATTTTAATTCAAGTAGTAAAATAATCCACTTTTATAAAACATTTTATGGTAATGACCTCTTGTATGCTTAGATTTATTCAATAGTAGCTGGAGTACCCGTCCTTTGGACGAATGAACTAAAATCTCGTTTGTAACAAATGATAGGAAATTGTACTTCTATTATTTTTTTTTAACATAATAAACATTAAAATGCAATAAAAATACATAAAGGTACCAATACTAAAAAGAAAGACATACTGTTTTCAATAATTTTATCAATACGAAATTAGATGGGGGTCCAACCCCCCTCATGACCTTCCTTATGTCAGCCTGTATCACTGTGTCGACTTGTGCTGATTTGATAGTTTTTTCCAAAATTAAATATGAAATTACATGGGGGTCCAACTTTCCCACATGACCTTCCTCGTGTCATCCTGTATCACCGTGTCAAGTTTGGTGCCGATTGATATGAAATTAGATGGGGGATCTGCCCCCCCCCCCTGTCCACACATGCACATATGACCTTTCTCATGTCATTCTGTATCACTGTGTCAAGTTTGGTGCTGATTGATCAAGTAATGTGGAAACGTATAAGGAATAGATACAAAAACACATATATTGACGTTTATTTATATTGATACGTTTAACAACAGTGTTTATAATTATTTTCTCCCCAAAACAACCTAGCTAGTTAAGAGAATTATTAAAACCCTAGTGAAGTTGAAGTGTCTTCTCTATTGTTACCAGATTCATGTGTAAAACATTGGACTTCTAATTAAATAGCCACTAAAATATATATATATATATCTTTTGTAATTTTCATCACTTGAGTTGAGCTTCTACAAAGCAATCCATAAGTTCTATTCTGAATCTAAGTTTCAAATGGACAGCAACTGCCTGTTGTAAAAACCTACAAACGTAGAGGACGACGTTTCGAAAGTCTTCCACCTTCAGAGACCTGAAGACGAAAGGCGGGAAACTTTCGAAACG